ATCTAAAAAAATTAAATTTAAAACTTATTTAACATAAAACTAGACAAACTTAATGTAAGATATTGAATTTAAAAATGATTTTAACAAAAAAAAATTTTAAATTAAAATTCAAAATTAGTATTAAATTAATTTTAATAAAATAAATTAATTTAAAATTTAATCTGTCTAATTAGTTTGTGTGGTGAATAAATGATACAAAGTAAAAATATATATAAATAAAATTTTATATTAATTATTATAAAATTTAATTACTTTTTAATGTAATAATTCAATAATAACATAAAAAATATTTATGATATATTTTATCATATTTAGAATGAATTTTAAACTAAATATAAATTTTGAAACCAGTTTTAAATTGATTTTAAAAAAGAATAAAATAAAATAATTTAAATTTTCATTCATATAACTAAATTTATTTTGTGCAAATCCAATTTATGCCGACCTCTATCCATAACAAGTAAGGGAAAAAAAAAAAGAATATATGACAGTGGTAGTATACGAGCACACTGATGAACGAAAAATTAAAAGATTGTTTAGAGTTTTTACTAAGAAAATAAGTTTAAAAGTTATGTCAATATTATGCTTTAATTAATTTATTATAAAGTTAGATAATTAGGTTGAGTTAAATTTATTCATTATTTATTCAAGACTCAACCCATATGTAATTGTGTTTTATTTATTTTTACCTAAATATATTATTCATTTATCTAAACGAACTCCATCATATTTTAATAAGTTCGGTGAGATTGACTGAGTTAATCGAGTCTGACTCATAAATACCCCTACGAATCGTTTACATCTATTGAGAAAGACTAACAGTTCAAAGGGTAACTAATAACTATCAATCTTTTAAAGAATATATCAATCATTTCGACTCCTAAAATTTGGTTGAATAATCATAACAACCCCTATGAACGATCATAATGACTCCAGTTGATAAATAAAAATAAAACATCAAAAGTTGATGTCACGTATCCAAAAAACGAATGAGTTGTTTGATTTTTTTAATTTTTAATTATAAATTACCATTTTATTTTATTTTTTTAAATTATACAAGATATAAACAAAAAATATCTTCACTAATACTAAAAAGTTATACAAGATATAATAAAAAAATTATACATTTGTTTACGGTGAAAATTTGTAACAATGTAAACAAATAATCCAAGCACAATCTGGAAACTGAATTTAAATCCTCTTGAATTCTTTTAAGTGTGTTGTTTAATGTAATGTTCGAATTGATGTTGTAAAACAGAGTGTTGAACAAGAATAGTAAGCAATAATTACGTGAAACTGATTAAACGTAGAGGTTTTATATAAAGTGTGCAAAACAAGTACTGAATTACAGAAACTGAAACAAAAGCAAACAAACAAAAGAAACTGGAATTAAAATGCAGGAATGTAAAGGTACAGAATATAAATATACGACTCCTCACAGCAGCGAACAACGATCACCGTGAGTCTCCTGGTAGCTGGTGTCTGGCGCAGTGCAGGGTTTCAATGTGCAGAGATTTTTAGGTGCGATATCTGGGTTCAAAAACTCGTCCTATGTGATATGAAGTTTTGGAGTATTTATAGGCAGGAGAACCACCACCGTTCTCCCTCTTTTGCGGGCATGTCTTAATAATTGCCTTCAACTGTTGTCCATTATCTTAGAGTGGCTCTGATCATGTTAGTGGTTGTGGTTTCTTTCATAATTGCTATCACCCACGATCCTGCTTCGTGTTGTAGAACCTTTGTCTGACGGTAACTGCTGGTACCTGGTGGTAATTGCTTTTAAGCTGTGTAATAGCTCTTGAGTCCTTTCATGTCTTTTATGGACTTGGAATATTTTTGACCAATTTCTAAGAGAAATCCAAGAGGTTCATTTAACGTTGACTTAGAATGATTTTCCCCCACTATTTCTATTTGTTGACTAATTATGGAGAATCTGAGAGCTCTTTTTGGTTTCGTGCACTTAGAATATTTCTTCTGTTCATTTTTATTTTTCGAGCAATTCTGAAAGAAATCTGGAGCTCAGTTAGGTTTGTGGACTTAGAATATTTTTTAACCACTTCCTGTTTTTTGAGCAATTCTGGAGAAGATCTGGAGCTCTGTCAGGTCTGTGGACTTGGAATATTTTCTGATCACTTCCTATTTTTTGAGAAATTCTGTGTGTCAAAAACTTTACAACCTTCAAAAACTCCTCGAAAGACTTTCAGTCCTGTGAACTTAAAATATTTTCATATTATTCCTATTTTTCGAGCAGTTTCAGGTATAAAGGACTTGAAAACAACTCAAAACTTCTCGAAAAAGCTTTCAGTTTTGTGGACTTAGAATAATTTCTTATCAGTATTATTTTTTCGAGCAGTTTTGGGTGTAAAGGACTTGAAAACTCTTCAAAACACCTCAAAAAAACCTCTAGTTTTGTGGATAATTTATTACCAGTATTGTTTTTCGAGCAGTTTTAAGTGTAAAGAACTTGAAAACTCCTCGAAAAAGACTCTCATCTTGTGGACTTAGAATGTTGGAGGCTCTTTTCATGATTCCTCAAAAATTTGTCATTTTTAGCATGAAAAGGCGCTTCTCTATACCCTTAAAACTCGTCGAAACGTTTATCCTCCAATATAATTTTATAACTTAGAAAATTTTTCTTACTCTAAATAATAGGTGTATTTTCGCTAATACTAAAGCATACTTGTAATTGAATTCATTAGAAAAATAAATCTTCATTCAATAGAAGGGGTCAAATTTGTTTGTAGTGCAGCTTGTTCTTTTACTTGTCGAGATGAGTCTAGTGTGTACTTTAAATTGTGTAAAACAAATACACAAGTATAAAGGATGAACTTACGATGTGATAATTAAATAATATTTTTTTCTTAAATAGATAATATTTATTATATTGTTAATATAATAATTATATTTTTAATAAAATTATTTTAATTGCTTAACTTTAAAACCAAGGTAATATTTTTTAAAATACAGTCAGTATCTTACTACACTTGCACACCATTTGAGTTAAGTTGGACCGAATTTACTTACAATTAGTATCAGTAATAACTATTTCACGTTTATTTCGTAAGATTCAAATTTTGTATTTTAAATAAATATATTTAAAATTAATATTTTTAATGATAAAAATATAAATTAAAATATTAAGATAAATTTAATATATTAATAATGTATTTTTATTATAGTTTTTAATTTAAAATTAAAAAATATATCTTCCTCTCCAAAACTCTTCTTCTAAGTATACTCTTAAATTGGAGGATAAAAATACTAATTTTTCTTAATTTTTATATTTATTTTGCATTTTGTATTTCTCGTTTTCCTTACTGTTACATTGATAATGATCACATTTATCATTTTTTTTTCTTAAGGTATATATATACATTAGACTAGGTAAATGGTAAGGCAAAATGTAGTTCTAAGGAAAATATCATAATACACCCAGCCGGTTTGAAAATCATTCGACCTTTCTAGAAAGATATATCGCTATGTAGTTCTATTGAAAAAAATAAATAGGAAAAATTAAAATAGATAAATCTAATATTATAGTAGTAGGTTTTTCTAAATGAAAACAAAATATAATAAAATTTAAAATAAAAATGATGAAATATACATTCATAGGGTGATTATCTAAAGTAGCTAAGTAGATATATCTTTTGAAAAGTATTAGAAGTACTGCTATAGATAAGAAAATCATGAAACCCAAATTTGTCATTTTTGCTGTTAAAAAGTACTACAACATAAAAAATAGGCCTTAATTTATGTTTAAGAAAATGAAACCAGGGATCATCTCTACTTACTCCTCTAGCATGACATTGTGAGATGTTGGATTCGTTGGAAAAGTTGTATTGGTACATATGACTTCTCCCAAAATCCAAATGCTCCAGACAGTAAGAAAACAGTGAAATCTGCATGTGCTCGCGCATGTGTAGGCAATTATCATCTTGTGTTCTCCAATGCTCAAAGTCTAGATGCCTTCAAAAAGAAACAAAAAAAGGAATAGAAAGCAATCTTCTTCATTATGCGTTTGCTTGGTAAAGTGTTGTTTAGTCAAGGACAAGCATAACCGATCACGTCCCAACCTGCTCTCTCGTCTTTGTTATCCTATTCCTATTTTTTTCCCCTTCCAATTATTGAAGAATACCTCGTCACTTTGACCATCATGATTATGCATGTCCCCATAGGTTGTTAAATGCTATTTACTGTGAGATATGATGTTTTTAGATTGGAAGAAGAAATTCTTCCATCGTCGATTTTTTCATAAACACAACAAAATACAAAATTTAACAGGTTTTTTATTGTTTCATATTATTGTAATATATTTTAAATTTTCTTAACTATACCAATACATTTGTTGTTAACGGGTTATATAAAAACTCTTCGAACAAGAACTACACAATTGTTTGGAAGTAGCCTTTTTCATCCTTACTAATTATAGCCACTATAATTCCAATTTAATAACTACAGAAAATTGATTTGAAAGAGAGAAAAAAAAAAAAGGCGTGGACTTGCTTATTATTGCTGAAGTTGGTAGTGTGCTTCGAAGGCGACAGGTCAATGCTTTAATGCTCGAACTGTACACACAATTATTTATAGGATGCTGCCTTCGTCACATGAGCAGTCAATATCGACATTTAATTAGCCAGTAACCAAAATTTCGGATGATCATAGTTTCAGCAGCTTAATTTCCTTCATTAAAGATGTTTTCTAGTTTTTTTATTTTAAACAATGAAATATATATTTCAACTGTACTTTCCCTCGTGCTCATACGTTGACAGTCCCTTAATTAAATAAGCCAAGTGGGAAATTAAAATGAATCTACTTGAGTTTAAAAACATATGCAAAAATATAAATCAATACAGAAATTATAATTAAAGTATACTTATCAATTTTGAGGTGAACCTGAATTCATACTCGTTGAGACGCAAATTCAATCGTGCTAGCAAAACTACGAGAAGCACATATGGCGTTTAGTTTAGCAGTTGAGCGAAAGCCATTCACTAAACAAATTAAGCAGTGACAAGGATATTCACAAGGTTGACATCAAACTGGGTTCCACCTCCACCTTCCATCATCATGGTTGGGTCATGCGTCATGCGTGTGCATGGCAGAACTACCAGACAGTAACACCAAACAAAAAGAAAGTACATTACAACGTTCTAATTCCAATTTCCTCCATCTCTCACTCAACATTAACCAATATTCAGTTATGATGTTGTTACACTTTCAAATTTCAGTATTTCCTCCAACTCGATCGCACGCCCCATGTACACCTTAATTAACGATCAATATATTACTAGCTACTTCTATATATTCATATTAATTAATTGTAACCAAAATATACATATTAATATATCTGGTAATTTATTCATTGTTAATTGAATGGGGTGGGAAATTCCTGTTGGAGAAATTAAGAAACATTTGGCTAACCCGAAAGAACCTTATAAATCACCACGAAACAAGGAAGGATAGCCCTTGAGTTGAAAACAACCAATTCCTCGAGATTCGAGTAGATTCCAGCGTGGCCAGCTACGGAATCGAATGACGCAACTGATAGATTTTCCTCATCCGACAGCGCGTCTTCTGCCACGCGCTTCACCCTCCCCGCAATCACGCGACACACAAGCATGGCCCTTCTGGTGCCCTCACCGCACACCACCGAGTCGTGGGCCCTACCGCTGCTGGCGGTGGTTCTCACGCCCTTCACCTTGCACTCGCCGCCAATCTTCCCTTGAAAACCGTGCCTGATGATCGTGCACACTCCGCAGCCAGGTACGGCGGCGCACAAGGCGGAGGACCCACGTGCGCCAAGTGCGCACGTCAAGGTGGTGCAGTGGAACCGCAACAGTTCGTTGCCGTCTGCTGCGCACCTGGGGTTTTTCTTGCTGCTGTTCTGCGCACGGTTCTTTATGGTGTCCCTGCACTCCTCAAACCGTTGGATGGTGCGTTCGGTGTTGTGCACTTTTAGTATCCGTTCGATCTTGCATATCGGGTTGTCCTTCTTCAACCAGCTCGATTTGAATATGATTTCCACTATGTTCCGACCCGAATCCTCCGGACCCAGCTCCGAAACTGTTTCCACAAAATTAATTAGGGTAAAAAATAAATAAATATTAGGATACGACAAACTATTAGATGTTATCCTTTGCTTGCTCTTGACGTATTCTACATCAAATTGATTGTCAAAAAAGTATAATTAAACGGAGAGACAGATAATATTAATATAATTGACTATAGTTATTAGCAAAAAAACTTTCTTATTCGATCATATAAATTGAAAATTTTCTCTTGTTCTAGCCTATGTGAATTTACAATCGGTGTCTGTGAGTTTCTTATTTTGGGTGGGGTGTCCACCAATAAAGAGCGTGGCAAGCTGTGGAAGCAGAACATTTATCTCCCTTGCAGCGAACAGCTGTGATCTCGTACGTATACTTCTACACAACAAGCTATCTGCAGATACGGTTGCCCCCACAACTAATGCACTGAAATTTTGGTGGGTGCATCTGGTGAATAGTGAAATGGTGATAGATGTAACGTGATTATTATAAAACTATATATTCTTTTAAAAATTTGTATAGGTGGATGTTTTTATTATATTCTTATTAAAAAAACATGTAAATAAAATAAACGTTGATATTTGCAGTACCAATTGTTGAATGTGCGAGGGTAAGAAGGGAAAAATCAAGAGCAAGATTATCGGAAAAACAGTTCCCAAGCAATACAGCATCATGACATGCATGGATGGTGGAGTCCATTTTGCCCCATGTTTCAAATTTCAAAGCTTACTTTTACGTATAAACCCCACAAGCATGTTCCCTCACCCACAAGGCAATTCAATCGATTAATATTGAAATAGACAGAATTGCAAGCATGCTTGAACAAACCATCAGATCTATACTGCACTGCAACAAAAGCTTTCATTTGCTCAATAAAGTGAAATGCTCTACGATGATAACGGGTGAAAAAAACGTTGTTACTTTTTCTTTTCTTTTTTTGTGAACAAAAAACAACATTGTTATAGTACTTTAATTGTCGTCCTTTAGTAAAATAAAAGAAGCTATGTTTTGACCAAGGATCTAATTAATAATCTTAGTGACACTATTTTAATAAATATAAATGTATTCTAATAAATAGTTTTAATTATTTAAAAAAGTAAGTATTTAATGACTTTGCATTTTAATAATAAAATTTTATTTTTATTTTTTGCATTTCCCCTTTGACAAAGTAAAGATGAAATAGTCAGCCTTGCTAGAACCGGTGCATATACAAGGGAATAAATCACATAGTAAATGCATCTGGAAAGGAATTAATGATGCATGTGTTTGCCTGATAAAAAAATAAAAATAAAAATATTTTTCCGAGGTCAATTAAAAAAAAAAAAGAAAATTAGGCAAATTAAGGTATTAAGGTGTAATTAAAGAGCAAAAGAGTACCAGCATGACGAACAGCTTGATGAAGCTCCAAGCTTTCCATCTTAGGGAAGACTTCACCACACTGAGAGCAAGTACACACACTGCTCCTTGAAATTGGTAACCTGATACATAGATATATTCATTCATTAATTAATTTCTCTTTCTAACTAAACATATACGTGTGTGAGATTATAATGGAATTAAACTTGGAGAAATGAAGCTAATGAATTTAAAAATATATTTACTACCTGCTAGGATCAATAATCATGTGACACTCATAACACCCAGATAGTTTTCTAAATTGCATTCCTCTGGAAGTTGATGACGTGGAGGTTGCTCCACCGTTGGATTTGGCAGAACCAGACACAGAGCTTGCTGATGAGGTTGCAGTGACCGGTTTCCTACTGAGCAAGCCAGTTTCTTGACCCAGTGTGCTACTCTCAGGTGAGGAGTTATCAGACCTGTGTACAACTCGCGTGTTCCCATGAACAACATCTCTGAAGCTGCATATGGAGCTGCAAGAAGAGCCTAGCTTGGAGTATTTGGAAGGGTCATGCACTCTGAACCCTTCGATCTGTTTGCAGGTGATGATGTTTTTGATTTGGTCCCATGAAGAGGGTTGTTTCTGTTTTTGCTGCTTCTTCTGTTGCTGCTGCTTACGCTTGTTTTTGCTCTTGGGATCGGAGTGTTGAGGCAAGGAAGTTAGGAGAGCCATGAGAAACAGTGCAAGCAAATAGAGAGGGAGAGAAGCAAAACTTTCTCTCTCTTTCATTCAAGGAAGAGAGACAAATTGACGGTGAGTGAGGAGGTTCTATTATATTTTGAACAGCTTTTATATTTGAAGGAGATTGTGTAAAATTGACACAAGAGTAGAGGATCCTATTGTGTTTGTGTGTAATAAAGGAGGATGCAGAGGCGCTGTGGCTGGTGGGGCAACGACTCATTCTCTATTTATTCATGTTATTACATTTTTTTAGCATAATTTAATGCCTTTTATTTATTATTTTTTTCACATATAATTATTAGTTTCTTGCTTTGGACCAGCAAACGCGTAAAATTACTATATGAAAATGGACTCATCTCAGTTACGAAATTGAAAATGTAATAAATGTTGCTCTGTGTTTTTAATGTGTTTACTTTTTAAAATATATTTATATATTATTGTTCAAATAGAAGTCATCCTTATCGATTAAATTTACTAATTTAAATGATACATATTTAATTTCTCTTAAACGAAATTTGAAATTCAAATTTAATGAATAAAATAATCTCTACTTGAAGAAATCAATATTTTAATTAAAATAAATTTGTCTCTTAAAAAAAAAAAGACTCATCTCAGTTACGAAATTGAAAATGTAATAAATGTTGCTCTATGGTTTTAATGTGTTTACTTTTTTAATATATTTATTTATTACTGTTCAAATAGAAGTCATCCTCATTGATTAAATTTATTAATTTAAATTATACATATTTTATTTTTCTTAGATGAAATTTCAAATTCAAACTTAAGAATAAAATAATCTCTACTTGAAGAGAAATAATCAATATTTTAATTAAAAAAGTCTCTTAAAAAAATGGACTTATCTCAGTTACGATATTGAAAATGTAATAAATTTTGCTCTAAATTTTTAATGTGTTTGCTTTTTTTAATATATTTATTTATTACTGTTCAAATAGAAGTCATCCTAATCGATTAAATTTATTAATTTAAATCATACATATTTAATTTCTCTTAAACGAAATTTCAATTTCAAATTTAATGAATAAAATAATCTTTACTCGAAGAAATAATCGACATTTTAATTAAAATATTTGTCTTTTAAAAAAATGGACTCATCTCATTTATGAAATTGAAAATGTAATAAATGTTGCTCTTTTCTTAATATATTTATTTATTACTGTTGAAATAGAAGTCAACCTTATCAATTAAATTTATTAATTTAAATGATACATTTGTTAATTTCTCTTAAACGAAATTTCAAATTCAAATTTAATGAATAAAATAATATCTACTTGAAGAAGTAATTAATATTTTAATTAAAATAAAATTGTCTCTTAAAAAAAGTGTTGCCTACATTAATAAAAATACTCGTTTTTCTCTCTCTTCTATATTTATTTATTACTGTTCAAATATAATTCACTTATCAACTAAATTTATTGATTTAAATGCTATATATTTAATTTCTCTTAAACAAAATTTGAAATTCAAATTTAATGAATAAAATAATCTCAAATAAAATTCAACCAAAACATACTTTCATCTTATGTATCTGATGTGTCTGTTAGAAAGGTGTGGCCTACAGCTTCAACGGTGAGGAAAGAAGCAAAGAACCAACACATCTAGTGTTTGGAGCCTATTTATATGTTTATCCATCGCTCCATGGGCTATGTTTAGGGATGAAAACAGGTCAGGTCAAGTCAGACTTTACTCTAAACAAGCCTGGTCTGTAACATAATTATTAGGATTGAGCCTGACCTGTTACTTGTTAAAGACTTTATTTTAGGCCTGACCTGAAGTCTGTTAACAAAGCCTGTTAAAAAAAATTAATATTAATAAAAATATAAATATTTTATTATTAAATTAGTTTATACATTTTTCTAATTTCTATCTATATTCTTAATAATTATTAAATAATTATAATAATATTTATATAATTTTATAAATAATTTTTAAAATATTATTTAAGTATTAATTATAAATATTTTATATTAATAAAATTTATATTTATATTTTTTTATTTTTTAAAATTATATAAATAGTAAATATTTTTATTTTATTTTAAAAACATATTTTGTTTATTTAAAGACATCTTATATTCAACAAATAAAGTTATAATAAATACATAAAATTGATAAAAAAAAATAACATTCATACAGTTTGTTGAATCAATTAAAAGAAAATTATATGTTTTAAAAAAAATAAATTTAAACTTACTGCAATATATATATATATATATATATATAATGACAATAATAATAACTATTAAATTAAAAAAATAATTATAAAAAATAACACTTATAAAATTTATTGAATCAGCTAAAAAAATTATTATATTTTAAAAAGTAAATAAATATCGTCATTATAAAAATTGTAGATGATAAACTTATATTAAGAAAAAAAAACATATGAGCATAGGAAGAATTATTAAAATTTATATTTAAATTAAAATAACTTATATTTCTAAATTTTTATCTTAATTAAAAAATATGTGATAAAACTTAATATAAAAATTTAAACTTAATATACTATATATATATAAAATGAAAACAATAATAACTATTAAATTAAAAAATAATTACAAAATATTTAATTTTATTTGTCTCACTAATTTGTTATTTTAAATTAAAAAATAAATATAAAATTAACTACACTATAATATTAATGTAATATAGAAAATATTACTGATATAATAAATTAAAACACATACTTATAAATTACATATAAATTGATAAATTGACTAATAATTTAATTAAAATATGTGCAAGTTATAAAAATATATATTATTGTATAATTTATTTATAATTATATTATTTATATTATTTGCTACATGGTCTGACTATATATATATATATATATATATATATATATTAATATATATTAAAATAAGTTTTTTATTTTATTTTGTTATCATTTTTTTTATAAATTTTTACTTTCAAATAAAATATAATTCAGATTTAAGCAATCTCTATTTATTATAAATAAAAATAATTATAACATAATATATTAATATAATAATTAAATAATTAAATTAATAATAATAAAATTAAGAGTATAAAAAATATGTTAATATAATTTTATTATTTTATTTTTAAATTTTATTTCGTTTAGTTTTGATTATGTCTTATTCCTGTTCAAAGAATTAACTATTTTTTAAATTGTTTAAATATAATAATTTATTATTAAATAAATTTATTATTTAAAAAGTGTAATCATGTATAAATATTTTTAATTTTAAAAATAATATAATTTCTGTTTATTATAATTATAAATAAATAAATTATAACATAATATATTAATTTAATAATAACAGAATTAAGAATATAAAAATATATTATTAAATAAATTTATTATTTAAATATATTTTGATAGCTCTATTTTTAAATTATATAATATATATATATATATATATATATATATATATATTTATTTATTTATACAGGCCGGCTTGTCAAGTTTAACAGACTTTATAAACAGCTCAAACTTGACTTGTTTACTTAAACCGGCCTTAAAAAAGGCCTGAGCCTAGTTTGTTTATTAAAAAAGGCAAGTCAAGCCAGGCCACAGGCCCTTGTCAGACAGCCTGACCTATTTCCATCCCTAGCTATGTTCTTATCTTTCTTGGAGACATTTCCGTTTCTCTTCACTTTTTATTTCCCACATTGACTCTAAAAAACGGGCTGGGAAAGAATAGTTAAGACAAGTATCACAAATAAGATATAATAATAATAATAATAATAATAATAATAATAATAATATATGCAGTAGAAACTAGGAGCCAAGATGAAAATAATTATCAAAGTTATATAAATTTTACCCGAAAAATGCTCATTCTTAATTAAGAGAAATTATTTATCCGCTATTGACCTTGCTTTTTCAATGTATTAATAGGTATATATATGTAGACAGATGACAACATTATCCTTTCTAACGTGAATTGCTTAGAGGGACATTTGACGAATGAGAAAACCTCATCAATAAGTGGATGAATATATAAAATTTAGCGCAGAAATAGGCACTTGACCAGGATGTGCGGTTTCTAAGAAGAGTGCCACATACAGAAGATAAAAAATGACTCATTGATTGTATATAGCTACATTTGTAAGTTTCCCACATGTTCCACACAGCAAACATTAAAAGATGAGGACTAGACACCTAGCAAGTATTTTCATTTTAGTTTTTTTCCATGGAAAGTTCCTCAATTTCAGAATAAACCTATGAGAATACAGTCAAATAAACCCGAGAAAGAGGATAGTGTACTTGGACAACTTGAGAGATTTGCTTTCAGTAGTTTGGGGCATATCGATTATTTAATTTTGTTACGGTGAAACGATCATTTTTGATGGGGCCAAGATTCGGAAAGCGAGCTAAAGTAAAAAGCATATGAGCCAAGAAGACATCATGTAAAACAGGGAGAAAGAATAAGCAGCCATATGCCAATTTTGCGCCTTCCAATGTCTTTCCACTTTCGTTTTCCTTTTCTTTTGCCATGTTTCTAAATACGTATTCCTAGTTCATACGCAAGCATACACTTCGTGTCACTCATTTATGTTCATAACATGCTCAGTCTTATATTGTGTATATGAACAGTACAACTCTTAAAAAATTACTTATACTGAAAGGAAATTAAAAAAAGCATTAGTTGGTTGATTTATAAGCTTGTTGCAATTGAAATAGAATTTATTTTATTATAAAATTATAAATGTAGATATTGTTGATTTATTTAGTTAATAATGTAAACATATTGTCAATATGATATGTTAGTTAATAATATATAATAGTTTTTTATACTAATAGAATTGTCTATCAATATGTGTTATATTAACATAAATTTATAATATCTAGAACATGCATCAAATTCATAATAATAAAATATATATTGCTAACATTTTTCATAAACCAGTATTATGTGTATACAAATAGCATACTTCGATTCAATATTTATTAATGTCATTAAGTGAAAAGCAAATCAAGAAATAACCGCAGTTTTTATCAGT